GAATGTTGAATGTTGCAGAGCTCATATTATTTGCTTTGGTAACTTTTTAGAAAATGAAGAAGGAAGAAGAGGGAAGGTCTGGTGTAGGATATGAAACAAAAGCGTCCGAAGATGCATCTATGGGTCACCCACAAATTTTTGATTAAATAGTGTTTACGGGGATGCATTTTCGGACGTACCTTTTACGTATACGAAGATGCATCTCTGGATTAAATTTTGACATAATAGGAATTCATATTCAACTTCGCCTCTAAAATGATTTAAATAGGTGCGTCCAGAAATGTATCTTCGAACTCTACGAGCATTTTTTAATTTTTGCAAGTGGGGGAGCATATATAAGGATGGAAAGAACAACTCCCTTAGAGATTTCAACTGATCAATTTCTCTTGTTTATCCTTTCACATATCAACCAAAATGAACAGAGAATTTCTTACCCCATCCTTTGGGGTTCTTACGCACCATGTGCGTTTCCAAAAATACCCCCTGCTTCTAGAGATGTATCTTCGGACGCACCTTTTTTTTACACAACGTTGGTTTTTTCGGAGCTACATCTACAAAAGGTTTCCATTTATATAGCTCCGGAATAAATTAGAATACATGGCGTGCAGAGTCTCTTCTCCTCCCTCATTCTTCATTTTTCGTCTTCTCATCCTCAAACTCTCCAAACTCTCTCAACTCAAAAAATCTTTTTCCAGCAAACTTCATTATTTTCAATCAAGTTCGACAAGAAGCATTCCTTTCAACGATCAAGAAACACCAACACATTCAAAGCTCGATATAATCGGTAAAATTTCGAGTTTCCGAGTAATTTTTGAGTATTTCCCGTAAATGAATTAGAATATAGTTTTAGGGGTAGAAATCCTTAGATAGTTTTAGAAGCATAGTTTAGAGACAATGTAGGTATTGTTTGTTGGCTCAAACGGACAAACAGGGCTTCAAAAATCAAATTTGCATGGGTAGAGGACGCCATTGCCGTAACTTTTTAGTTGTATGTTGTTCCAGATCTACATCTATGAAATTATTTAACGTTGGGGCACTTCCGTAGATGCAGCTCCGGAACAACCCAAACGTTGTAAACTCTGGGTTCTTCCGTAGATACATCACAAAACTTGTTTAGTGTGTGTATATCCGGAAGTATAAAATGTTAATTTTTTTGATTTATTTGTATCAAATTATTTTTTCTTGGTTATTCTGTTGCAAACATTATGGCAGATATAGATGATAGATTGCGACTTGGACGTGTTTCACAGCATGCATCTATGAGACGCGAGCGGAGTCAGACCACCGTTACCGAGACCGATACAACTAAGGCACAATCTACTGGACAACCTTCTTCATCACATGTCCAGGGCACTCCCTCGACCTCATGTCTCACCCCATCATCGACTTCTTCACCCCGGAGACGTCGAGATTCAGCTGAGGATTCATTACAGGCCCCGTCATCCCGCAGGCCTCGCCAGGATACTCCTGTTCCTCATCCTGCCGATGATGTTGCTCCGGTGCCACCTCCAGAGGGTGATGACCCACCACTGGAGGATGCTGGTGACGAAGACAATGGTGAGTCTGAGGGTTTCCCAGGGGGTCCCTCAGATATGTCCCTGCTGATAGGGTACGCCGACCATATTGCCAGACATGTCTGGGATGAAGAAATAACATTACTCATATTGTTTCTTTCTTTTTCATTGGAAAATTATAATTTGTACCATTATTTCTTATTACATTTTTTCTTATTTATAGAAATTTTCATACTCGTCCTCCGCAGAAGTTCTATAACCACAGACGGAAGATATCATCTTTGAAGCAGCCACAGAAGGCTTGGTTCAAGGATGTCCTTGCCGCCTCTGTCTTGAAAGACCTTTGCCTGAATGGTTCCAATGTGATCCACAACAGGATATTGATGGGCTTTGCAGAGAGATGGCACCTTGAGACGTCCTCCTTCCATCTACCGCACAATGAGTTCACTATCACACTGAACGCCATCTCATGTCTGCTACATATACCGATCAGGGGTACCCTCCTCCGTCACGGTAGGATGACAGAGGAGGATGCTAGAGATATGTTGGACGAGGAGCTTGGGACTGATCCACTGGATGCTCTGGAGGAGGTGAATAAGACCATATCGGCTCATGTCAGGTTCTCCTTTCTCACCGTAGATTTAGTGAGGCGCTCGTTGCTACACGCCAGGAAGATGGTGATCCAGCCGAGGTTGAGATACACAGACAGCGTGTTCTGAGATGTTATTTTCTGTTTTTAGTCGGCACTCAGTTGTTTGTGAACACTTCCTCCACATATACGGATGTCGCTTACCTGAGGTACTTTTTAGATTTCACACGGATTCATGAGTACAACTGGGGAGCGGCTACTCTGGCTCACACATATTCGAGGCTGAGAGAGGAATGCCTGTGGAAGACCAAGACTGTGGCACTACTTGTGGTAACAATCTTATATCCTTCGACTTTTTTTCATTTCTTTTCATTCTATATTCGAGATAATGCTTGACCCTTATGTTTTTTATTTTCATTTTAGGCTTGGATATTCCAACACTTTCCCATGATCGCCAGGTGGAGGAGTGTACCTGATTACACAGATCAGATGTCGCATGCCCGTGCCTTTCTTTTGCTAAGGGGAACCAGGCGATCGATCCTTATAGAGTCTATCTTGATCATCTGGCTGCTGAGGACATTCAGTATGACGTCTATGCTGATCACCGTGTGACGCGCCCGTTTAACGACATCTCCCTATTCTTAGAATGGTTTGCATGCAGTTCGACCATCACTGTTCCATATTTTCCTGAGCGCGTCATGCGGCAGTTCGGCTACACTCAGACCATTCTTAGACTCCCAGCTGTCTCCGCTCCTCTCAGCTTGACCCACATGCAGATAGACGATATCTATGCCGACTACCAGAGGCACATGGTACCTGACGAGGCTCGGGCGACCAGAGCGCCGAAAGACTGAAGCTGCGTTGATGGCTACATCATGTGGTTCTTCACTGTATCACACCCCTACATGGTGCCCACTGTCGAGGGATCACCACCCAGACTAGCTCATCAGGAGATCCTAGAGGAGCAGCAGTCTCAGTTGGATCACACTCAGGATGTCCTGCCTCCCTGTCGTGAGATAGTGGAGATGGGGTGGGCAGGCATTGCCGCCAGTTTCTTTCCCTAGGGGTCTGACCACAAGCGTGTATTGGATGACATCATTGCGCTGGTAGCAAGGACACTTATGTACCGCAGACATCGCGACATGACGAGTGGGATTGTTGGCCGATGACACAGACCGGGCGGTCGAGGAGGCGAGAGAGGCAGACGAGGCGGTCAGGCACACACAGTAGTGACTGTGATGTTTTTTTTATGTACTATATTTTTAATGACATTGATGTACCATATTACTTCTTATATATATCATTTATTTTATTTACGGATGTATGCCATTTTATATTCATCTGCAACAATTAACTTTCGTCTGTGACCAACAAAATTTGATTTTTAAAAAAAAAACCGTTCTGATAAAATTTCGGAGATGCATTTACAGAATTTTATGTAGATGCATCTCCGGAAACATCCAACGTAAAAAAAAAAAGAGTGCGTTCGAATGTGTATCTCCGAAAGCAGAAAACATAAAAGAAATTTTGCTAGGTGCTTAAGAATATCAAGGGATGAATTAAGAAACTCTTAATAAATAAATATCTTTTTCTATGCAGTAGATATTGAAGTCTTTATAGCGACTAAGTTTAGATTCAAATCCTCACAAGCCTTCTTAATGGCCAATTCAATGATGGTTTATTTTATTCGTTTTAGACTAAATAAAATCTTCAAAACACGCCTAAATGATCATAATACTATTACTATGTATAATGTTCCAATGTTTCAGAATAACCTTTTAGACATCTGGAATAAAGCAAAACAAATACTTTCATATCCTTTAATGGCTGGTTACCTGAAATAATGAAAACTGTTGATGTTCCAAACTATTTACAGTGTCTGTACCTAGGCACTGATTTCAAATTGCACAATTACTCGGTTGTAGTCTCGGTTTGTGAGTAAATACAGATGTATCTACTGCAAAGGTGGCAATGTAGATGTTCACAAATGGAAGAGAAAAGGTACTTTAGATGAAGCAAACTTCAACTTGCTATTGATCACAAAGTGTATAATACAATGTTGACTTACAGATGACAACATAAAAGTTAAATTCAAGAAAAATAAGATTGTTAAGCATATTGCAGATAATATCAACATGTTTCTCAACCAGATCAACTGAAGGAATTTTATGGCAGAAATTGGGCTGAAAAGCTTTAATCCTTCAATCTTCTTTAAATTCGGTTTTTCTCTTGCTATTATTGACTTCCATGCCTTCCTCATCAAGAAACTTTTTCACATCAATGTTTTTGTTTATCATCATTGATGACCCAAAGGAATCATATTTTCTTGTGAAGGGAAAATCAAATTGGCCCATAATACTTTCTTGTAAAGGAAAATCAAATTGGTCCATAACACTTTCTGCAGTATCCTTTGGATGGGAAAATTGGTCCATAACATTTAGCCAAAACCATGTTTAATCTGAATCTGCGTTCTGCAGAAATGACACAAACCGATATGTACATATGTAACCGAAGAAAGTATAAAAATAGTTAAGTAACTCAAAAATGAACGCTGACCTTCATTGAAAAGTCAGTTGAATCTAACAGAAACAACATGTCCTCAAAGTGATAAGCCAAAGCTTTGGGTAGCATCTGTTGTTATACGCAGTAGAACCATATCGAATCCAAGATGTGACCCTTGCATCTCCACTAACTTGGTTGGCTAAATTGTTCAATACATACATGTACCCTATCCATTATCAACAAGAGAAAATATAGTCATATATTAATCTTATTTTGCCCCTAGGCTTTAGTGATATATTAATCCAATTAAAATGTATAATATGCATGCATACACAAACATGTACCTGTGATTAAAAGAGCTTTCACAGCACAATAAGGCGGCGCCATCTTCCTACTCAGAAGATCAATCTGGTGTTTCGTATTTCAAGATTTTGAACATGAGCTATTTTTGGCCAATCCTCACCCTTTTCCTCTTCACATCGTTTCTCTAATTCACTGCAGCTGTAAATTCCCAAACTCTCCAGACCAGTAAGGCTTTGAATGCTTATTGGAAGACATGTCAACTTCGGACAATTAGAAATTCTGAAGTCACGGAGAAAACCTAGGTTTCCTAACGATTCAGGCAAGGATGTTAGGTTTGGAAGATCCCTCAATATTAACGATTCAAGGGCAGTCATATGTTGTAAAGCCTCATCCAAAACTTCTATTTCTGACCAACTCCAAATCATCAATGACTTGAGAGAAATGAGGTTTCTTAGCATACCAATTGGAAAACATGTTAGCTCTTCATTATTGTAGAACACAAGCGATTCAAGACTATCATGTTTATGAATTGAACTTAGTAAATCTTGGTTGCATTTTCCTTGTATACACATATAATTGAGAGATGGAAGGGAAGGAAAGCCCAACAAACTAGGACATTCAATAATTACAAGTGCAGAGAGTTGCGGGAACATATTTTCTCTATTCTCCCTTGATATCCTTATCAAGTTTGGCAGCTTCTCCAATGACAGATGTTCTAGTGCTATAAAACAAGCCACAACTCCACCATCATAGGACTCCTCGTCTAAGTATTTTATGCGACTCATGTTGGATACAGATAGTTCCTTTAGGTAAGGTAGTTTCCCCAACTGTGGAAGGTGTAAACAACTTTGGCAATCCTTGAGATATACACACCGTAAATCTTTGAGAGAAGGATTAAACACCCATTGTGGGAAATGGACACCTGTATATCCTTCCACACCCAATTCTTGAAGCACGTGGATATCAGGTTGAAGAACTTCAAGTATTTGCTCATCATTTTCCTGCAATTGGGACTCTTCAGTTCTCTTCCACGACAGCCACAAATGGTTTAAGTGCTTACGGAACATATTGGCTTCTTTAGCATCCGTTACAGTTTTCACTCTCTCAAGGTGCTTGATGTGAAGTTCTCCTTTAAGACTTAGCTGTCCTAATTCTGCCAGAAGGAACCCTCTTTTTTTGCCAACTACATACATGCTCAAAGTCCTTAGGGAAGTCAACTTCCCTATTTGGGGAGGTACGTTTGATAGTTTCTCGCATAAATTCAATGATAGATGTTGTAGAGCTTTCAAGCGTATCAAATTATTAGGCAACTTTTGGAGTTTATAACATTTATCTAATATCAAAATTTGCAAATTCCACAACTTACATATGGATTCTGGAAGAGTTTCGAAGTCACCCGAAGAAAGATTCAAATACCTTAGATATTTTAAATGACCAATTGAAAACGGAACTTCTTTAATAAGTTTCAAATCAAGAGCCCGTAAAGAATAAAATTTCAATATATGAGGTAAAAGTCTGTTACCATCAACCCCTGGTATTGTGTAAGTCTTCAATGATTTGATGCTACGCAACCGGACTAAATTGACTCCCCTAAATGAACCCCCACGATAAAATGATAGATGGCGGATTCTTTCAGAAGTACTAGGCATGCCATCGCCATCTAAAATGCAGCATACCTCATCTGAAAAAGATTGAGCAAGATCATGAACAAGATCATGCATCTTGAAACTTGTAATTTTGCCATATATATCAGTCTCAATATCTTGGAAAAATGATCTCCAATATAATTCATTCCACACCCCATTGCCAATTTCTTCCTCGTTCAACATTTCATTAGATGAAATAAAGCCATTAGCTATCCAAAGCTCAATTAGAAACTTCTTACTTATTCTTTCATCTTTGAGAAATAGAGCACAAAAGGCAAAACATTGCCTCAATTTCACTGGCAAATTCAAGTAACTTAGTCTCAAGGCAGGCATGACACAATCTTCATCTTGTAAACTCCATAGTTTACTTTCCTTGACATACAACCACTCATTTTCCTCTCTTTTAAAACGCAACAGACTTCCTAGTGCTATTGCCGCAAGAGGCACTCCCCCACACTTCTTCAGTATCTCCTTCCCTATGACCACAAGCTCTGCCCTTTCCACCTCATTTGGTCCAAAAGCTCGTTGTTTGAACAATTCCCAACAATCTATGTCAGATAACGTTGATAATTCATAAGGAGGCATTGTTCCCATAATTTCAGCTACCTTTGCAAGACGAGTAGTGACCATGATTGAAGCACCCTTTCCCCCACAAGCCAACATAGATCTCAATGTTTGCCATTTCTCTTGTTTCTCGTTCCACACATCATCTAAAACAAGCAAATATCTTTTTCTTTGCAATAGATCTTGAAGTCTTATTTGTAGTGGCTCCATATCCAAATCCTCACAAGCCTTCTTAGTTGCTGATTCTATGATGGCTTTAGTCATCCTTTTCAAGCTAAAATCATCCGAAACACACACCCAAATCCTAAGCTCAAAGTGGTTGACAATCCTCTCATGATTGAAGACGAGTTGGGCAAGTGTTGTTTTACCTAGCCCACCAAGGCCTACAATCGGATAGACCGATAAGTCGTCCAATTGAGATCCATCACCAACCAAAAACTCTAGAACTTTTTCCTTACTCTCGTCTCTTCCGTAGACTTGAGGTCGAGAAATGATTGAGGTGGTTTGACGCCAGTCAAGGACTCCACTTCTCTCCTCTCTCACTATCCGAGTCAAATGAAACTTACTTCTTTCTTCTGCTATTTCATCTAACCTCTCTCGTATGTTCTTCATTTTCTTAGCAATTTTGTAACGGAAAGCAACATGCTTTGGATGAAAAGAGAATAAGAAAGAGCTTTGTACCTTGTGTGACAGTTCTTTGCACTCCATCTCCAACACTTGAGTGGCACACTCGTCCAAGATGTCGTCGAGGACATGAGCAGCATCTTTGAGCTTAAGCAGCCAATCCTTGATAGCTCTGTCAGCGAATTGTTTCTCCTCAGCATCTTCAAGAGTAGCCTTGATTGTTGTCAGCATACTGGAAAGAGTTTCAAAGTCTCGATTAAAACCAAGAAACAAAGTCAGGTTCTTCTGAATGAGTGAGTTCAAATTGTGAAGCACAAGTTCAAGCACAGCCTCAGCCATTTTTCAAAGTTCAAATTCACAAAATGAATGAGAAATGTAGTGGTTGTATCAAACAAGAAGAGACAGTGGACTCACTACTATTAATGCATCTTTGGAATTTCTATAGAAATTACTTTGCTTTACACTTTTTCTTTGTTTTTTAATTCAAATTTCGTGATGTATTTGGAATTTTGCTCAAAGTTGCCATAATTTTCACAATTTCTTGTTGCTTGATTGAAACTTGGTGGAAATAACAAAAAGAAAGATGAAAATGACAGATTAGATAAAATAAACAAAGACTTTACCGCAAATATTAGGTTGAAACTTCATGGAACCGTTGCTCCAATTTCCGCTATAATTTCATTGTAAACCATAGTAATTTCTATGTAATTTACTTCTCTAGTACTAATTGTCTTTTTAATATTGTTTTTTGAAATTTTTTATCAGCTAGTTTATCGTAATTTTATTCAAAAAGACTGAAAAGAAATTATTGAAAATATCTCTTAATATCTTAATCTGAATGAAAAGAAAAGTTAAAATATCATTTTTGTTTCTCTAGTTTTTAGCACGGATCTATTTTGATTCTTTAATTTTAAAAGATGTCAGTTGATTATTTAATTATTTAAATAGTGTCACAAAAGTTCTTTTTGTTCATTTGTCTCAAATGACGTTTGTTTATGTATATGTGGCAACTGAAGTGACTTTGATATGTCATCTTCTTCATTTCCAACCTGCGATGTCGTCTTCTTCCTCCCTTTCATGTTAGGTTTTTTGTCAAATCGAAATCGGGCTCCTCATTTGTAGAGTTCTCTATTGAAATTGCTCGTGGAAATTGAAGTAACCATCAACAATAAATAACGGGCACTGTTCAAACCAATCTAATCAGAAGAACTATAGAAGTTTTGATTCCAATGTATACACAAGCTCAAATCTCCGATGAAAACCCATATGTCATTATGGAGACATGGTTGTTCTTCGCATGACATCAACTGTTATGAATTTTGGAAAATAATTTTGGGAATGTCAATATTTTAAAGTAAGAACGAATTTGAAATTTCCTTCTTCGTAGTGTCTTTCTGATATAAATCATTTCCCATTTACACAAGGTTCTACACATGTTAGTTGTGGATGTTTTGATTGGTTTTACGAGGATGTGGTAGATGAGAAATACCAATGTATGAAGAAGTAAAAAAGTAGGTTGGAGAAGCTAGCAAAAGAAGTTGATGCAACAAAAATGGAGGTAGAGGATCTTAGGACTACAAATGAGGAACTGAAGAAATAGTTGCGAGAATTACAAATTCAAATGAAGAAGATGGTGAAATGAGAAATTTTTTGAAAGAGCATGTTTTGTATTATTTTATGTGTGTTGGTATCTTAGGATGTTCTAATAAGTGTATCAATTTGAATCTGTTTGTATCAATTTGAATGACATAAGTTTATCAGATAATTTATTTTTAGCTTGTAAGAACAATTAATGTTTGTATCAGTTGATATTTCCATATTGTATCAGTTAATGTAAGAACAATATTTGTTTGCATCAGTTGAATTGTTTACACCAGTTTGAATGTTTTACATTAGTTTGAATGGTTTACATCAGTTTATCAGTTGTAACATAATTGTTATCGGTGGCATAAAACATAATTGTCTAGTTTACATCTGTTGAGACATAAAATTAACACAGTTTATGGTTTAAACTAAAACACATTATACAAAAACAGAGAAAATAAGACACGATTGATTTATACCAAAATACATTACTAATATGTAGTGTATACCACTAATATTCTACATTACAACATAGGTTCAAAACATATAACATATTCTGCATGACAACTGCCACAACTGCGAAAAAGGGGTCGGCGAAAACAAACAGAAGAGTCGCCACCGAACCTTATTTATTCCAAAGAGAGGGAAAAGAAACGATCAAAGAAAACCTAAAAGAAAGGAGAAGACAAAGTCATCACAACCAAATCTTGGGTTCGGGAGTCGGTTACGCAAGGGAAAGGTATGAGAACTCCTCAGTCTTTTGTACTCAACGAAATCCATGCTTGTTGTCTATCAAAAGGGGAGTTATCTAAATGCTACTGCTAAACGGGGGAGGGAAAAGAAAAGAAGACTCGATAGAACATCTCTGCCCTATGCCTACGTATTCCCTCGTGTAATGGGAAAGTCAGAGTCAACATAGTTCGAAAATTACAGGTGATGGGGGGAAGGTTGCTCGCCAAGACATCGCCGTCTTGTGCCTACGTATCCTCATCTGGTATGAGAAATCAGAGCAAACATAGTTCGGATAACATAGATCACTGGTTAGTTAAGTGTTTTCTATGAGTGACGCTAAGTATTCATTCCAGCAGTTAGGGTCGATGCCTATTTGTGGTAGAACGGAAAAGTAACGTACTCTTTTCTGAAAATGAGTTTGAAACAACAATCCCGAAGGATAAAAAGTTTGAAGTTTGTTTGTGGGTTTTATAGAAGTGAATTGAATTTGTTTGAGATTCACGTTGCACTAAAGACTATGATATAGGAGCGAATGTGTCGCATATCGTCCAAAGGGCATACATTAAACACTCTAGACAAGTGAGGAGAAATCCCTCACTCATCATTTTCCACATACTTAAGGCTCGTGGCGCACAATGTTCATCATTCTTTATTAAGTGTCTTAGAGTTATTTGAGAAAGAGGAGAAGACACAAAGAAAACACTAAAGGGAAACTAAAAACCTTAATTTTATCATACAAAGTGGTCGTAAAGTTGAGGTCAAAGATGGGCTATCCTAATTGTTATCATGCAAAGGATTGAAAGCTTAACGTCTCTTCTACTCCCATATTAAATAGAGGAACTACGAATCCTAAGGGATCATGTGAGCAAGTACAAGTAAACACCATACTAATCAATCACAAATGAAAACAAATTCAAGACTTGAACAAGTCTCAAGACAAGAGAGAATAAAAGGAGATGAAAAAGAAGATGCAACAATATGTAAACAAATAAGAAGTTCACTTCATTAGACATAAACATCACACAAATGCAAGCATTACGTTCAACCATATAAAGTAAACACTAACATCATGTCAAACTAAACCAAAATGCATACATATCAAACCACACTCAAAGGTTGGAGGTTAAAACAAAATGACAAGACAAAGTGTTAAAACACCCACAAATGACTTAAGATCAATCAAGAAGCACTTTCAAACATCAAGCATAGTGAAATGAAGTCAAACAATGTGAGAACCAAGGTGGGGCAGTAGCAATGTCATATTATGTTCATAATGTCAAAATGATCAAGAACCAGGTCAAACACACATCAAAACAAACAATCACACTTGCTACAAGACTCAAACCAAACTAGAGAAGTGTGAGGCAAGAATCAAACATGGAAGTTACAACTCAAGAAACACATGGGCAATAGCATATACATCTCATAAAACTCATACTCAACCTCAACATATCAACACAAACAATAATTAAACCAAGGCATATGCAAGATCATATGCAAGGAATCAAAGCAAACTTCAAGAAAGGACCCAAACAAACTAAGGCATATGTGGAAACCTAAATGGGCAAGCAATACCAACTTGGGATCATAAAGTAAGAAGTTAAACATAATTTTCAAACCACACACAATCACATAATCATCACGACAAACATCCCAAAAAAACAAAATTGAAAATTAGGTCAAAGTAGGCATACTATCATGGACAAAAGATCATCAACTTGGCATGGCATTCAAAAAATAGGAAAGTGATTAACAAAAATCCAAACTAAAGCTCAAACTCATGTCATATGTATCAAGAATCATATTGCAAAACATCACAACAAAATTGCAAGAAAACAACAACAAATGAACCCAACAAAGTTAAACATCCAACCAATCGAGCATATTTTGAGGGTCATAAACAAGCAAGTGAAAACTATGTCATACAATATCACTCAAGGCCAACAAGCACATTTAAATCAACCTCATAATGTGTGTCAAAATACTCCAAAAAGCCAGCCCAAGAATAAAAAAAGGAAATACCCTAACCAAAGCAACAATTCAAAACTAGGTCAGAAAGACACCTTACACCAATAATTTAAACTAAAATAAAAATAAAAATAAACAATATGGAAATTTAAATAAGATGTTAAACCATCAGAAAAGTATTTTTTGTGGATTTTAAAAATGGTTGGAAATGCTAAAAATAAATTAAAATGAAAAGAGAGAGAAAATAAAATAAATAAAAGAAAAGAAAAGGGGAGGAGGTGAACTAGAAATCTCATAATGAACTAAGAAATAGTTCACATGCGCATTGGGCTCAGATTGAGGGGGTGCGAAAATCAAAGACAGTCAGGCCCACCCATTAACAATAAGAAACTAAAAAGAAAAACAAGCACGCGTGGACTCATTAAATGAGTCAGCGCCACATGGCGCCCAACAAGCAAACACATCAGCATTGACCAGTGTCAAACAAGAAACGCATCAGCATAGATTATCAGACGCCGAAGCTAGGGCTCCGGTCGTCTTCTCTGGTAACTCACACTAGAGCAAACTAAAAACTGGAACAAAACTAAACAAACTTCACATCATTCACAAGGATTTTTCATGCTGATCAAGAATATGACATCCATTTTCATTTTTAAGAGCTCTAAAACCATGAAAATTGGACATGAATAAAACACGTGATTTCTGCAACTCAATCAAAATAACACAAAATCAATATAAACATGGCCTACAATGTGTAGGACTTCAGATGCGACCAACATGAGCCCTAATGAACGTCTAGAATGAGATAAAAAGGAAAGAGAAAAGTTACCTCCTAAATGCAAATCTGCAGCTCTTGATCTTGCTTCAAACCCTAACCAAACTTCCTCCTTAGCTTCCTTTTGCTTTATAGATGACAATGGTGATGAGGAGATGAAGATAGAAGCCTTGTATGAAGAGATTCAAAGAAGAGAAAAATTTGAGAAAGAGAGAGTTTTCAGTTCTGAGTTTTTGAGAAATGTGGCTGCCTCCTCTCTAGGGTTTCTTTTAGCTTTTAT